CCCCAAAACCCCAAAACCCCAAAACCCCAAAACCCCAAAACCCCAAATCGAGGAGGATATATAGAAAATAAAAATAAAATGCAGAAAGATAAGCGACAAACTGATTTTTGGATTACAAATAACCTGCAAAAATCAAAAGCTGCACCTGGGAAATATAACGTGCCTATTCTGAACGTTAGAAAGGACCATTACCATGGCCCTGCCTCCTTTGGGTCTACCCAAGGGAGATTTGATCCAAAGGTTGTCAAAGAAAAGAAGATATTACCAGGACCAGGAGAGTATGAGAGTGAACCCATCAGCCTAGTGACACAGAAAATTAAATAACTCCTATCAATGTGTTTTCAATTCTAAAGTTGAAGATCCTAGTAGAGCTATTCCTCATTGCAGGTCTAGTTCAGTCATTAACAAATAATATCTCAAGGGCAGCTCATACTTCCCAACTCAGTGAAAGCATGAGGAGAGATGAGATTGGAATCAGCAAAAGCAAACGAAAAGCCAGTGATCAATACCTTAATACTTCAAATGATTTGATTAGCAATACTTATCAGTATGATCTATCAACAGGCGGCTCGAACGAGCTTGGATCTCTGATTCTCAACTCTCCTATAGAAAAATGCACAAAACAAGTAAAGAAGATACACAAGGGGATTGTAAAGCATGAGAAAACCTCTCCCTCAATTCCAAACAAAAAGCTTAAGAAGGCTGAGGTTTTAAGCCCAGTTAGGTACAATCCGAATCCCAAAGTGCTATACAAAAGTTCACCTTCTGCTCTAATAAAGTCACATCATATTTCATCCCCTCATAACAACAGCTCTCTCAACAAGTACATTGAAGCCTTCATTGGTGATGTTGTGGATTCCTCTAGCAAAGGGGATAACCAGAAGAAACTTCTAGAGCGGTTGGAAAAATTGAAGATTGATGAAAGCTCTCATGATTACTCTGCTACAAATAATTCCTTAATCCAAAGCATGTCTAATTATTTAAATATACTTGTGAGCAAAGCACAGAAGCAGGAGGGAGATGATTCCTTCTACGTTGAAGCTAATGATTACCACAGCATTGCCCTAAATACTGCTCCCATAGAGTCTAATATCAAGATGAGATCCCCCTTTGTGTCTAAAACTGAGAGGTATCCTGAGATCAAGCAATCTCCTGGTCCTGGTGATTACAATATAACCCAGGAAGATAGCTTAAGCTTAACTGAAGAGATTGCAACCTCTCCTCAAGCTTTCGGATCAACATACAAGTATAGAACACATTTCTTGAATGTTGAGAAAACACCTTTTGGAAGCCCAACCTTTATAAATAATCCTGGTGTTGGTCATTACTACCAACCAAAGAGGATTCCCAAAAGAATCCAGGATGAAATACTTAAAGCACAAAAGGAAAAAGCAATGGAAGACGGAATTGTTAACAAATCTGCCTTCCTCGTAAACTCTCAACGTCCTTGCCTCTCAAAAGAACAGATGGAAGAGGTTGGTCCAGGAAAATATAATTTGGTCGCCCAAAGCTCCAAAAGTGAAAATAAAAACAATAAATTTCAAAGATTTAAGAAGGATGATAAGACAGTGTTTATTTCAACTTCTCCAAGATTTAAAGATACTACCAAATCTCCAGGTAATTATAGAAGCCCGGTTGCAGTAAGAGATGAATTGAAAGATTTGAACAACAATTCTAATCTTTCTACCAATAACCGAGCTTCTAGATGGAGGAAACTTAAATAAATTAAACTTTGAGAATAACTTAAAGAAGGAAAAATCTAAACAATCCTTCATGTTTCAGAGTGATACAAAGAGATTCAAAACTCCTAAACCAGAGAGGATCGAAAATGTACCAAAGAAAGAAATGAAGAAGATTGCAGAGTACGCTGCTTTATTTGGATCTCATCAGAAAAATCTGTATCATCCTCTGGAAGACCTTAACTCTATGGTACCGCGAGCAAAGGGTTTATCTCAAAATATTTCTAAATTAGTAGGATTCAACTCAGAAGCTCCTCGATTTAAATCTCCAAATCCACGTAACAAACTCTTGCCTGGTCCTGGTTCTTACCATCCTGGTAAATTTCGAACTGAGGAGGACGTCGAGAATGCCTTGAAAGAATCAGAAGGAATCTTTTGTAAGAATCCGAAAAACTCTCCAACTGCTGTTTTCAAGAGCGAATCACGGCTAAAGCACTCAATGATTAACCTTGTAATATCAACTTTTAATGTATAGATCAAGCAATCTCCAGGGCCAGGAGACTACAACAATAATTAATCCAAAAATAAACGGTGTTATTTGTTTGGCCAAGTATTCAGACTAATACTATGATTATTATCGCATAAATACTTTCTATAGAATTTCATAGAGATTTAAGTAAAATAATGGATCTTCATTTGATGAGGAACTTTTCAATAAATCTTACAAGGCCTGGGGTTTTGGGGTTTTGGGGTTTTGGGGTTTTGGGG